CCAGCAGGAGTGAAGGCTGAACCCTTTATCAATGTGACCCCACTCTGAGCTCTCATCTCAGGGGCTGCGATCTCGTGCATCTTTGTGCTTGGGAACCCTTACCGCAGGGGCCCCAACTCATCACACGGTTAGTGAAGAGATTGGTCTTGTTCAGAGTTCGCCGATGTTTTCTTATAATGTTTTATGCCAAATCCCAAACGTGCTTTAGTAGACCACGTGAACACAAACTACACCTTGTCCAAGTGAAGAATTCAAAAAATAAGGAAAGAGATGTGAACAAATCCAGTAATTTGGTCTGACAACCAGTGGCCAGAGTCTTTAATAACTTCTGGTACACTGATTTGATTCCAATCTTATATGAACTTCTGGCCAAGAATCAAGAACTTCCCTTTAGTGTTAAAACGTAACAGGCTTAGATGAATAAAAACAAATGAGTGCATTATGACACAGCACAGGGCACTGTAACACCAACAGCAGTATTTCAGACACAAGAGAACCTAGAAACTCAAATGGCAAGTAACTTCCCTCTACACTGGGAAAGCTTTGAGTCATTCTCTCAATTGATACAACTAGTAAAGGTGCTCCCCTCGGTGCAGGTTGTGCTCTGTGATCTAGATGTTGCGGGTTCGAGTCCCGACCACATCATCAGCCAACTGGGACCAGGATTTCTCAAGTGCTCACAGCCGTGAGCCAAGACATGAAAATACACGACTTGGATTTCAGATTGACTAGTAGGAAAAGTAATCACTGGGCAAAAAAAAAAATTGTTCAAAAAGAAACGCTTCCAGGAGATTCACTTTCCCTTCACTCTTTCGTCAGCGTTATGTTGAACAGGTTTTGTGCTCAAGTCTACCTTAACTAAGCATTTCCTTGTTCATGACTAAACTGAAGACACACCTAACTTCCCCAGAACGAACTCCAGCTTACGAAGCACAGCCACCTTTACATCTCCAAAGGGAAGCGGTCTTCTACTGAACTGTAGAATGGCTTACAAAAGTTCTTATAAATATGTTAAATCACTACTTTAAAATGTGAAGTTCCCCATGCACTGCCCCTCAGGTTATTTTAACTACATGATTAGCCTGCTGCACTTGTGTTAGAGGCAGGCTAATTCTGCTTTCCTATACCTACAGCCCTTTTGCAACAACTTTCCCGAAACAGTTTGAGACTGTGCTCACAATGAAAAGGAGTCCTGCAGTAGCATACTGTAGTATTGTTAAGAGCATACTAGTAACGTGCATTATATTGACCAGCTCAGTAAAGAACTGACCCTCCTTTGCGAATGACATTAGCACCCTCCCCGTACTGAAAGACCAAGCTCTCACATCCCCTATACCATATACTGTATGCCTGTTTGCTTACCCTAGCCTTGATGAACAAGCAAATGAGTTCTGCACAGCAGAGAAAAAGCAACTTGGTATCAGAACTTAGAAAACCGTAAAGGTCATACACAGCACAGAGCGAGTTTTTTTTCCCAAAGCAGACATTTTTCCTTTGGAGTTGATTGCTGTCAGGATGCCTTTTTACACTGAACAGCTTCAGCTGGAGTCACAACCATGAGCCTCAGAAAGACCTCTTTTCGCTTTACTTACTGCCCACACTACAGGGCATCCCAGCCATTGGAGGCGGGGTTGAAGAAAAGCGACTCTACCCCCATCACAAAGTACCAGAAGGCTACAGGAGGTGCCACAACAGAAGTGCACACATCTCTGCACACAAAGTGGAAGGGACAGCTGTCTCATGACATCTTGGGCGGACAGTTGTTTCACGAGTTCATCTGGCTTCCTCCCTTCATCATTCTAACAGCGGTGTGGAATTCTTTACACAAAAGGACCATGCGTTAGGAACACCGACAAAACTGCCTTTTCCCCCAATCCACTTCTCCACCCACACCACACAGGCACACAGACGGACAATCTCGCGTTTCTCCAGCTCTGAATATGTAAATGGACAAATGGCACAGAAACTAGCTGTGCTTTTTACAGGAGCTCATCTTACAACGCTATTAAGAGATGCTCCAACGTAGTCAATAAAAGTTCAGTGATCAATTTGTTCCATTAAGCCACCCAGACAGCAGACTACTTCGGACTAGGAAAAAAAAAGGCTGTAACTGGGTCTGCCACAACACTAAGAAACAGAAAGTGTTGCGTTTAGCCTGCCTGCACTCCAGCTAGATTTAAATGAGACAGTTCCACTCACCAGGGAGCTCTCCCACCTGAGTCACTGGACAGCAGCAGAGGAACCTACACACACAGCTCTGCACCTCAACAGCCCTTGCCCTGGCCCAACAGCAGCTAGGCGGGTGACTGGCGCAGTTTACTCATCCTACAAAATAATCCTCAAGGAGCGTACGCGTGCGCCAAATATCACTGTGTAGGCTGCAGGCATGATAGTCCATGTTTGTGTTGGTCACCGGTTTGGTCACAAATTGGACAGGAGGCAAACGGAAGAAATAGGGTAACCCTTGTTCCAAAGCAAAACTATGAATGTGCACTGCCCGTCAAATTACTGCCTTAAGTATGGTTTTAACACATACCCAAATCTTTTAAGATATTGAAACTCTCAGATCAACAACTTACATACCTCGCCGCACTAGGGCATATCTCCAAACACTTCACAATCATCGCTAAGATCTGATTACATCGTTACATATTTCATACATTGACAATCCCCCCCCCCCACCGGTCAGTGCACTTGAGACAAGCAACACAATGCAATGGTTTGGATCCCACATGAACGGGGGCGACACACAGGTGGAATCCATTATACTCTTCCGAGAGACGCCTGCGATTCTCCCCAGCAGCAACACTCCTTCCTCCAGCCGAACAGCTAAACTAATTGTGAATTCTCCTCGGCAGGAACACACGACGCGCAGCCACAGACCCACCACGTTTCTGAAACACCTCCGAGACGGATGAAACCTCAGACTACCGCTGATCAAATCACTGGTAGAAAGGAGGGGTGTTGTAATCGATTTTCTAGAGAGTAAGCGCTGCGACCGTATCAGCAGCAGACACAAAGCTGATTAAGAGCAGAGGGTGGGAAAAGAAATAGCTGGAGAAGTTAGCGCCACTGATCAGAAGCGACTAGAATTGACACAAAAGATTGGGGAAGTGGCGAGCCAGGAAAATGACTCAAATTAGGGTCGAACTCTTCTGCTCACCACACTTAGTAAAATACTTTATATTTCCCGACTGCCAGCTGCATACAAATATCGGCTACAAAAGTTCACGTAGTTTATACTGTGCAGGGATTGTCTAATTATTCGGAAAAAACAACGAGTGCTATGCCACAGCGGTTAGCTCACAGATCTGAAGTACTGTAATACCTTACTTTCCAGGCCTAGGGGGCAGTATGACAAAATACCAGCCTGTCTGAAACAAGATTTTCTGAGAAGTAAGGCTACATCAGGATTTGTGAACCTAGGAAAGGAAAATCCTTTGTCATTTCGTTGCTTGTGAAATGAGGAAGTTTCTGCTTTCAACTTAATTTATTCCATTTTCGCCTCGCCCCCCCCACCACCACACCACACCACACACACACCTCACTCCTATCTTTCAGTTCAGGTAGGCTCAGGAACACAGGCGCACAGGAACCAGGCGACACCTCTTTCAATTTCTTACTCAACGTGCAAATTGCTTTACCCCTGATATTCACGACTCCTTTTTCCACACACACACACACCCAAGTCAGAGCCGCTGGCGGAGAGGGGGCACCACGAGCAGGGACGCAAACGAGGGACAAAATCAACCCACCCTTTGTTTTCTGTCATGTTGCTCAAGGCATCCGCGCACACACACACACACATGACGAGAGGCTGGCTGGCTGCACACGGCCGAAGACTTGATATAGCCACAAATGCAACAGCGACGAGAAAGACCAGGTAGTTTACAGAAGGAAACCGCACAGCGAGGCGCTTCTCTGTATGCCCCCGGGCCCCAGTCTCCTCAGGGTGCACACTCCGCTCACAGCATCACATACGCCTTTGTCTTTCAACGGTGTTACTTGGAACAGGTGAAACCCGGGCGCTTGCAAGAAGACGGAACCCCCAACTCTCATGCACAGTCCAGCGCAGTTCCCCCACACCACCCAGTCAACATTTTTTTTTTAAATCGTTCTGCTGCCGAGGGAGAAAGCGCCCTCGGCCATCGTTCAACACCCCGAAGTTCGCCCGAGCAGATCCGGGTTTTAATATTTCACTTGATCTCCCCCCACCCACCCAGAACACAGCGTCGGAACTTGAGGCAGAAACCGAACTGTGCATGGCGTTCCCTCCTGCACAAATACACTATTGCAATATCTGTTCGTTGTTGGGTGTGTGTGTGTGGGGGGGTCATTCGCGTGGATGTAGAGGTCTGAGATGGAGCTAATTCATCCCGACTGTAAAACTAACCCAGCGAAGCGCTGTCTTTGTGTTGGGGAGGAGGGCATGGGGAGGAGGGGGGGGGCGGCGGCGGCGGAGGAGGAGGAAAATGGGAAAACTGGGACGCAAAGTTTTCCCGAATAAAAGAGATCTTCGCTGACGGCGAGGGTGAGCCCGCACCGAGATGACCAAACAACCAAAACAGAAACCCGACGGTGGGCACGCGTGGAATTAGCCATCACGATTCCTGTGAAGTCTGAACAGGCACGTTTGCAGAACACGTTTTCGCTGCTTGCAGTTCGCAAGTTTGAACAGCAGGGGCGAGCATTAAAAGTTAGAACATCTATTTATTTTTATTATTCCCGGATAATTCCCTTTTCGCCCACCACCCCCTCTCTTATTCCGTGTTCTGAAGCATTACGACATTCTTGACCTTCGGAGCGGACAACAGTTTAGGGTAAACGGGGGTTTCATTCTCTATCGCGAAGAATAAAAAAAAAAGAAACGCCTATGAAGTATAAAGTGCGACTCCCTCGCCAGCCCACTGCTGATGAATGGCTGTGTTTGAGGCTACCAACACTCGCCAGTCACAATTTAATCAGTTTTAGCCGAGCACAACACAAAAACGCCAACTCACCAGGGTCGTACTCGGGCACCGTGGCTTGGTACTGGGGTCCCACCCGCATGCCTCCTGCACCTAAAAAGTATGCACAACCCCGTCACAAGGCGCAGTATCCTTTTCAACAACCGCAGTAACACAACTTCTCCGGGAGGGTGTTCGAGGCTATCATCCTGTTGACCTACCGTGCTCATCATCACTGGAGGAACCCGAGCTTCCTTCTTCCCAGGAGTTACTACTGTTCCCGTTTGGTGCAAAACTTTTACTATTGCTGGCATTGTTAGCTGCAGAATTTCTCCCCCTCCTCTTCCCAGACACCTCCGAAGACCCCTTCTCTATCATTGCCGGCATTTGTGTTTTTTTTTTAAACCCTATTTAAAAATATATGCAGATGTATATAAATATATACGGCGATGTAATTCTTAAAAGCGTTACGGTAATTCCACCTAGTTTAATTCCCAATTTGGACTATTTCTAACGATAGCCGATTTGATTATTTAGAAGCTCGGAGATGCACTTTCGATGTTAATTTTCATATCCTGCGGAGGTTTCTGATTGGAACAGACCGCATCGAAAAAGACTTAAACTTTCCAGGTTCATCTCAAACCAAGAGCTCTGCTCCTCGCTCTGCACTGCCACTAACGCCGCCTGACTGAGCCACTTAATCAACCTAACCGGACCATCCTGTAGGCACCGCCCTCGCTGGCTGCTCATTGGGCGAAATCCCTTTTTTCAGCGACTACTTGCGATCCGATTGGCTCTCCCGTCAGTCACTTTGCTCTGGTCTCCACGCTTCCGTCGTTAGGGTAGGTGGGCCGGCACCCGTACGTGGGGTTTGTGGTGGTGGTGACGGGGGGAGAGATTCAACGCCCAAGAGCCATCAGTATGAGACAGTAGTCGGGAGTTTTTTTTTTTAAATGTCTCTTACTCCCCCTTCATCTGTTAATTAAACGTGTTTAGATATTTGGATGCCGTTTTTTTTGGCAAACAGTAGCCTATTGTCTATACTCTGACTCAATATAAAATGCGAATTCGACCGTCAAGTCGTCATTGTCGACTTTTAAACGAGACTCGTTAAAAATAAAGATCATAGAATTAACTCGCTCCGCAAAAAAAAAAACATCTGGTGTTAATTGTATAAGAATATAGTGGTCCTCAAAGGTTTCATGATGTACACATATAGACTTGCTGAAGCCTTTTCACCGTCCACAAAATGCAAACCTAGTGGGGAGGTGTATATTGAACTTCTTCTAAACCTTTTTTGAAAAACAAGTTTTCAAAATGTCCCAATCTTGTGTCGCCAGTACTCGAGTGGTATTTTTAAAGTATGCACTTGAGGCTCCAGGCGCTGTATTTGTGTAGCTGCGTATACATGGTAGTCACCTTTAGTTTTTATTCGTTAGTCGTTAGCTAATTAAATAGATTCAAACTAGAATCCCCTAAAACCGACTACAGTAGCTCTACTGCTCCATCTGTCCCACAGCCTATTATCAAACGACGTCGTGATGGTGTCCAATAGCAGTTTGCAACTGCGCCAACTAGGTCTTTCAAATCCCAGCGTTTTAAATCGGTTAACAAGAAATTGCTTCTGCAGATATTTAAAGGCATTATTTTTGTCATTGCCTGCGAAATTAAATTAGCATGCCTTACATTAATACGGTGTTGGGTGATTTACAGTGAAGTTAATGTTAAAAAAAAACATTTTTTTGTCATTTTTATTCTTGCGATTACAAACCCCGTTTTGTCTACCAGACTCTTTCAAACCGCCTGCTTGTTTAGGTTGTAACGTAATCAATTAAACGGCTCAAAAACGAGAAGATCCCCTCATCGTCACATAAACACCGACAAACGACATGTTGTGAAGGGATGAAATCGACACCATTTTACGAGTTGAAACGACACCAATTGTTTCCAAGAGCTCATGAAACACAATGGAGGGGTCACGTTAGTCTGCCCCGCTACTGTTCGGTATTATATCGTCCTCTTACCGAGTTGGCTCAATGTCCATTACTTATGGACAGCGATATTCTTCAAAAGCTTTCAACTGCCAGCTTTATTTCATTTTAATTTTGATACCATCTACGTTTGTTTTTTTTGTAAACACTCCTTGCTGGTCGTTTGCATTTTCTCCAGACATAGCAAGCATCAAATTTGTCAACTTTAGTCGATTGTTCGCCGTAGATCTTTACAGCTGAAACGTTTAACAGTCTTTTACAACATAAACATATCATGAACAAAGATGATCCAACGCACTTTCTCACCCAGCTGATATTTCATAGACCAGAAAACACACAATAGTTTCCCCCGTGATGATGATAAGCAGAGGCTATCCCAGGTGAAAAAAAAACATGCGTGATACCCACAATGTTGGCATAGGCAATATCAGCTTACCAAACCTACACCAGCATAATCGTAGTTAATTATAATTTATTTTAGAAATATTCCACCGAAAATAGTTTAGTAACTTTACACTTGTGATGGCAGAAAAAATTCTAATTTTAACCCAAGCTTCCCAAAAGCCTTACCAGGAAGGCCAGGCTAAGATTACTTTATAGAAGTCCCCACCTTAGCAAAAAGCGTCTTTTTATGACTTTTGGAGAGGGAGACATATAAAATCCAGTGTCATAGGCTAGCCATAGTCTGGTAATTTTGAATAAGACACGTTTATGAGACCTAAGAAATTGAACCATACAAACTTTGTACTACTGCTACTGAATACTATAAATCACAGGGCCCTAAAAAAATAAAAAGGGGGGTCAAAACCACTTTCTGTAATGTGTGGGGTTAATCCAGCATCCCTTCTCTAGAGTGAGCTGAACTTGTTGCTATATTGAGGAGGCGAAGCCTGTTCTCACAGCTCCCCTTAAACGGGAGGAAGTGAGCTACTGAGAGCCTTCAGAACAGAGGCTTCTGTGGTGAAGCTGTGTGCTCTGTCAGTGCAGGTAGGCTGGGGGCAGGGCTGCGTTTCAGTCCTCGTACGTCACTCACCGCTGCGATCGCTTGCACCTCCTAACACTGCTGCTGGAACAGACCTCCCTCTTTCGTCCCAAAACGCACACACACATTAACGTTGTCATCATACGTACGGTAAGCCGATTCACCAGCTCCCTCTCTGTCTGTTGTAGTACTCCTTCTGCCCATGTCTGACTTCAGTGGGTTCTGGTTTATCCCTCGTTTCAGTAGGTCCCTGTACTTACTGCACTATGTCATGTAGTTGCAATAGCCTGTGAAATGTGATTGCATAAACTGTGATTATTATTTTTTTTGGAAGCCGTCTTAGAGAGGAGCTTCGCTGCAATAAAAAAAAAATATTTACTTGGCTCCCAGGATCCAATGAACGGACCTGACATGAATCATGACAGTGTCTTATAGCTTAATACACACAGGAATGATCGCAGAGGTTCAGACATCACGTGGTGCAGAAGAAATTAGACATTAGACAATGTCCTAACAAATGTTGTTTCAGTTTCTCTGTTTGACTGCATTCTGAGTGATAATTGAGTGAAAAGCCTAGGAGGAAACCAAAGAACTTTGTCTCTTGAGTATATCCCTTTGATCAAGTGAGAGAAGTGGTTTGCAGTAGGCTGATGCGTGCAGACTGGACAGTTACCCTGTACATCTTTCCATTCCAGTGTTGAGCATGAAGAGAACCTTATTAACCTCATCACTTATCCCCCTAACCTTTGCCACGACAGTCTGCAGTCTATGACTGTTTAAGTCAAGCAATCTCATCCCTCCTTCTCAAGACTAGCCAAGACTAGGTTTCTGTATAGAGATGTCTTCCGTTTGTCACATTAAGCCCTTTCCTCATGTCTGAAGTACATATTTCAAAGAGAGTGAAAAAACTATCGGTTCCAATAAAACAGGTCAGAGGTTAAGTAACACACACTTTAGTTGTAGGCTAATGATAATATACTGTACTCTTTAACCCCTACATTAGAACTGGTTACTAAAAACTGATAAGGTATTTTAATATAATTCAGCACTAAGCACTTAACTAAGGCTGTGATTATTATTAAATTCAGGGAAGTTTTACAACACTACAGTGTCTACACAAAGAACGCGTTTTTATATTTAAGAAATACAACAATTTCAAAATTTCCCAGAAGTAATCTTTCAAGACAATTAAAACTAAAAGCTAGGATTCTGTATTAGACACAAATAATATTTTTTTTCATTGGTAACACAGAAAATATTATGGCATGTGTTTATTTAAATAATCGATTATGGTGACATCCCGTACATGCATGCTGCCACAACTGACTCAGGAACACCAAGCTTTCTGTCATGAAGCACTGAAATGTATGACAAATCCCTGCAAACTGTATAAGCAAGTAGTGTGGACATCTCTTTCATCAAGTACAGAGAAACGCAGGAGTAATCTTGTGCACAAAGTGGTTCTGGGGAAATTTCCAACTTACCTTAGGACTAGCAAACCCATATGAATTAAGATCTCAGTCAATATTATAGGTTCCAGTTCCAAAGATATGTACAATATACAGAAAATAAATGGATATTTTGCTCCATGGTCTTGGAGTTGTCTTCACGAAGGCTGCCTGAACTTAAAGCAGTTGAGGGATTTCGGCATGTAAGGTGTTGATGAATCCACTGGTTTTAAATGACATATTGCCATAGTCTGTTCAGTAATATGTTCCTTTAACACATGCAAACATTCAGAGGCAAATCTGTGTGGACGATGTAGCAAAACAAAGCATGCGTGCTCTGACTGCTTAGGAAAATATAAGACAATAAGACTTGGTTTCAGACATAAGATGAACTATAGTTTATTAAGAGCCATTTATTAGAGTTAGTTGTGCAAGGTATTCCTTTTTAAAATGATCATGATGTGGGTGGAAATAGTTTAATGTAATCAGTTACAAGATCTCTATATAATGTGTATAGTTACAAAGGAGCAAGTAAAGATTTATCCTTTTACTTTAGTAATACACTCACTGTGTAAAATAATACACTATCGCTCCAAATTAAATTCCCCCAATTTCTTACTGAATTAAAGAGGTAATTCCTTAAGTAACCTTTCCTAACACTACCAACAGTTTCTGGTATCTTCTGATGTTACCATGCTGAAAATTGATTTAGCACATAATTATTTGCTGAAATCTTTCATTTTGTTTCCTTCCAGTCCTGCGCAGGTATAAGTCATGACTACGAATCTGAAACACGAGCAGGGGCTCCAAAGACCAGAGCAAGGCGCTCATAGGTGCTCCCTGTGCCCCAGGCTAACTGCTTACATTTATTAAACCTGTTTTAGCAATTCCCGTTTAAACAAAGGCAAAACCACTCACACACATTTTTGGTGCAGTGCATGATTCATTTTCAGTAGCAACACAACAGAAAAAAAGGGATTACAGCACAGTGCAGGAGCAGACAGCACTGATAGAGCAATAGTCTTCACCTCACACAAATACATGCAGTTGCTCTTTTTCCCAGTATACAGTTTTCTAATGACGCTTACTCACAACGCTACCCCAAGTCTGGGTGTTTGCCCGTTCCTTATACAAACCCAGTACGCTGGAAATATTTGGTAGCTTATTGCCAATCACCTTAAATAACGTAAGACACAATAACTGTAACACAACAATATCTCCCTACCTCTGTTTCATAAAAAATGGTGTTTGTG